TTAATGTTTGCTGGAATTTACTGAGATCATAACTCTTCTGCCTGTGGTGGGTATAAGTTTGCAAGTTCAATCACAGTGAAATGCCAGTAGTAGGAATCAATCTCAGTATGTTTCTTTTTAAGCTGCTGAGTAAATAATAGGACAGATTACTATCAACTTTTGTCTTTCTAAGAAGACTCAACTACATTTGTCTTTTGTTTTAGAATTTTTAAATGTTGGTAAATAAGGAAAAAGTACCATACATTTAGATCACTTTCAGCAAGGTTCACCTAATAGCCACAGCTGATTACCACATTACCATAGGCAGAAACATTATGCAGAGATTTTTTTTCTTTCTTTCTTTCTTTCTTTTTTTTTTTTTTTTGACTTTTAGAGCCTATGTACAGAAAACTGTTAATAGGCTCTTTTCTCCTTTAAGTATTCTCTCTAGGTATGTGCTAGAATTCATTATTGAAACTTGATTTAATATTTTAATTTTTAAACTTTTTGCCACTTTATCTACTAAACATTAGAGAGAGTGTTGTGCATTTTAATTTTATTTATATTTCTAGGGGCTTGTGCATTCTCCAGAAAGAGATAGAGGGAAGAGAAAGCATACTGTCTTTCATGAGGAATGGTCACATTGCAATCTCTTCTCTTCATTTCTCCATTTTGTCTGGATTTTGGGCGTGTTTCTCAAACCAGTAGGTATAGGACTCCCAACCACACAGTTGGTTATGTGGGATCTGCTAGTTACCTTAGCCATCAGGCCACAAAGCTGACCCGATAGTGTTTTGTTTTGTTTTTTTCCCTTTTTTATTTATTTTTTTGCCAGAGGGAGACAGAGAAAGCATGCCCTGATGGGGCATGGTTATGCTGCAGTCAGTTCTCCATTTCTCTATCCCATTAGGATTTTGAATACCCACAAACATATTCCTGACATATTTTAAAGCTGCTGGGTGCTAGGATTTGAAACACTAGGTCAGCCATATGGGATCTGGTTCCCTTAGCCACTAGGGCAAAAAAAATGAAAATGAATACTTGGTGCCAGTAGGTGGTATGGTGGTTAAGGCCCTGGACTTCCACTTGACTGACCATAGTTTGAGTCCTGGACCTGGTGGCTTGCTTTCCCCCCCCTCTCCCTCTTTCTTTCTCTTTGTATCTCTCACTGGTCAAATTATAATAATAAGTAAAGTTAAATAAAACAATGCTTTTGAAAACAGAATCTTTTTGCTTTGGAAAATAGCTAAACCAATACAATCAGTTTTTTTTTTGTTTTTTGTTTTTTTGTTTTTTTTTTTTTTTTGAGGGAGACATTTTTCTGTAGGGCATGTTTACTCACCAAAGAGAGAGAGTGCAAGAAATCACCACCCCACCCCACCCGCCAGAGGGATGGCCATGCCTCAGTCCCTTTTCCATTTTCCTTTCGGGATTTGGGGCGCACACACACACACACACACACACACACACACACTCATGCCCAGCGTTTTGAAGCCACCAGGTCCTGAACTCAAACTGCAGTTGACCATGTGGAAGTCCACATAACGTAACCATTATGCCATCTGCTGGTCCCGTAGCTAGAGTCTTTTAAAGAGCTGTTGTCTGAATTGTAATAAATGACCTCAGATGGGAGCCTTTTTCTAGCATGTGAGATTGTCATGGAAATGTATTTTCTCCTTTTCGTGTAACTGGTGGTGAACAGGTGCAAACTCTGGACAAGAGTCAAAACATCTTTTTTCTGTAAAACTCAGTTTTATTTTCCTTAGGCTACCAGTGATCCTTCCTTATTAAGCCTTAATTTTTCTCGCCTGTCCCATTTGTAGAATTAAAGTCTCTTTTACTTCCTTGGAGCTCTTGGATGGTTTATCTTCTAGAGCATCTCTGAGGTTCAGTGGATGAAACTGAGAATAAAGGGCACTGGCTATAATCTGGGTAGGGGGTATATCCTGGACTGTAGATCACTTTCCTCTTCTACATGTCTTGGACTTCTGTCAGTATGTGAGTACTGTTGCTACTGCAGGATTCTGTTCTGCCACTTGAGAATTGCCCTGTTCTCTAGTTTGGGAAGTTGTTGGACAGCAAACATATGCTCCAGTTGCTCTCTCTGTTTCCACTAGATATCTTGAAAGATAGCCTCATCTTAACTGTGTTGCCGAAGAACAGTGTGCCTGCCTGACCTATTGTTGAATCACAGGAGAGCATGGCAAGAGTAAATAAAGCAGCATCACAGAAGCAACTTGTGTAATGGTTTACCATTACAGGAATTAGTACTGTTGAAGAAGAGATTTTTTTGGTGTTAGAGATCCCCCCACCCCCCCACTCTGTTACTGCTTCCACAGATGTGTATGTAGCTGCTTTGCAGTGGTGGGTGACAGTTCTAGAATTTTCTTACATTGAAAAGCATTGAATATACTCAGCATCGGCTGTTTCCGATTACAAGATAACTAGCTTTTATTTTTCTTTTAACTTCTAGGCATGATTTCAGACTTGCAGAAAGAAAAGTTGCAAAAATTACCACATATCTTTAACCTGATTCTTCAAACGTTTACTTTATTCTCTTTCCTTCACATATTACCATATATACACGTGCATATATATGTAATTATTAATCTGTTTTTGTGTATTTTTTCTGAAATGTTTGAGAGTAAATTGCCATCATCCTTAAATATGTTAGTATTTCCTAAAAATGGACAATTTCTTAAATAACCCTACAGTACCATGTTCAAAAATCAGAAATTAGCATTAGTTCAATGCTAGTAGCTAATCTGCAGCTCTCATTCATTTCACCAGTTATCATCATCATGTTCTTTATAACAGAAGAAAATCCCAGATCATGTGTTACATTCGCTTGTCACCTCTTTTTAATCAGGACAGTTCCATACCTTTGACATTTTTTAAGTTTATAGGCTATTTATTTATTTATTTACTTATTTTATTTTATTTTATTTTTTTTTGGAGAGGCTTTTCACTATAGGGCGCGTGTGCTCGCCAGACAGACATAGAGACAGAAAGCGAGAAATCACCCCCCAGGGGGGATGGTCATGCCGCAATCCCTTCTCCTCCATTCTCCTCTCGGGATCCTAGGCACGCACACACACGTGCCCGGCGTGAGTTTTAAGCCACCGAGTTCGGGATGCAAACTGCGGTCAACTACATGGGAGTCCAGCGACATAGCCATTATGCCAACTGCTGGTTCCCCAAGGCTAGTTATTTTGTGATATGTCCTTCTCTGTCTATTTTATTGTTGTTTTAAAAATTTTTTAATTTAACTTTATTTATTTTAACTTGACTAGGGGCGGACAGAGTGTATGAGAGAGAGAGTGGGAAAGTGAGAAAGCAAGCTGCCAGATCTGGGACTCAAACCATAGTCGACTATGTGGGATTCCAGTACCCCTGACCACCATGCCACCTGCCACCACCACCTCCCTCGACTGTTTTTTGATTGGGTGTTACAGTCTTTCATTTCCTCAAAATGACAAGGTCCCTAATTATGAAAAGGATCTAAGGTATAAGGTTTCTAAGTGGAGATGGGAAGGAGACACAGCAGCCAGACCTGCTCTGTTGAGAACCCTGACAAAGTGGAGAATGGGCATTATTGTGGCAGCTGGTTTGCAAGGACATGGCTAAAATCTAGTCTCTCAGTTGAGTACCTTATTATAGACGACGCAGGTGCTCTGTGTTTCATGGTCTTGTCCCTCTCTGTTATGTTTTCAAAGCTGTATCTTAGTGACCAACAAAAGATTTCTCTGGCATATGTCTATATTGTATTCCCCACTCCCACCATCATGTTCATGTGCACAGATGCACACGTGTGCACGCACATGCTCTCTCTCTCACACGCACACACACACACAGGCTTTTTAAAGTCTTAACTGTATTGTTTCAAACAGACTCATTGGCCTGTCTATGCTTTTGTAAACGGTATCTCACAATGTTGGAATACTTTTCATTAGTAACGTTTCTTCCATTAGCCACACTTGGAAAACAGAGCACAGTGACTAAGAGTACAGCTTGCACAGTCAGACTGTCCATATTAGATTCCTGCCCCCAACTCTGCTATTAGCTGCGTGACCTTGGGCAAATAGCCGAACTTTGCTGAGTCTACTACATAAAGGTTTCGTGAGGGTTAAATGTGGCTTATTAGCAGTGAGAACTTTCGAATATACTGAAGTTTACATTTATTGAATGTTCGCTGTGTGCCACTGAGTACCTTATAAAGTATACTTGATTGTGATGTTTTATTTTCAGAACTATTATTCTTCAAACTCTTTGGGCCATTGTGACAAGAAATAATACACGTAATGCAAGTATTTCTGGTCAGATTCGTTAATTTTTCTCTGACAGATGGAAAAGTTAGTCAATAGCAGAGGTTTTCCATCACTTCTGTATCAGATATCAGTTTTCTTCCTTGCTGATCCAACATCTCTTTTTTAGGAATGAGATCTGTTGGAAAACGTTACTGGCTCTGAGCTGATTTCAGATTCTAGATATTAAGGAAATGGGAGTGGCGACAGGAAATAGGAACCAGCAGCTGGGAAATAAGTTTGTAACTTGATGTCAGTGAACTGGTCTTCACTTTCGGAAGACAAAATTCCATATAACTCATTAGACGAGCAGGTGTCTCACCATTTTGTTTCAGTTTTTCCATTTGTGAGTACATGATATACAGCTGTTCAGAGCTATAACATTTTCCACTTGTCAGTTATCTCCTAAGCTCACATTTTATTTTTAAAGTGTGACTTGGGTATTCAAGATTTTTAAGTGCCCTAGATGTACCTACTTAAAGAGTTTGACATGTAAGCTATGAGTCCATAAATTGTTTAACTTAATGTTAGAGGTTTTTAAGGGCAAGCTCATTTTATCTTAGTTTTTTCTCTTCTAATTTAAGGCATGCTCTTTAACACAACACGGTATACAAGATAGCATACTATCCATATGATTAGCTAACATTGTTTCAAAGTTTTATTTATTGTATTCACTTTGAAAGGAATCTCACTTCTGATTACTCTTGTGTATTTAAGCCAGTGAAGAAAAAGAAGATAAAACGAGAGGTTAAGATTCTGGAGAACCTTCGTGGTGGAACAAATATCATTAAGCTGATTGACACTGTAAAGGACCCTGTGGTAGGTGCCTGCTGGTGGGGTCATCTTATAGTGGCCTGGGTATGGGTATGTGGGATGTGTTAAACACACAAAACGTCAAGTAATATATAGTGGGGGTGATGGTACTTGTCTTTAGTACCAAATGATTTTGAAAACCAGATAAAAATCATGGTGACCCAATAATGAGACAGCTACTTCCAAAAGCATACAGAGAAAAATCCCTGTCCTAGGTTTATTACCTCTTTGATTCAGCTCACAGATGTTTGGTGGATAGCTCCTCTGAGCCTCTTCTTTTCCCCTAAGGTTGTAAGCTTCTTACTGCCTGTTTACATTATTTTGCCTTGCTTAAATAAGCCTGACATTTGAAAATCTGCATTTACACAAGGAAATATTATATCTCCACATGAACAGCCAACTAGCATAGAGAATAGGTCACAACCCCACTGATCCCTTGAGGAAGAAGTCTTGCTGTTTCCCATACTAGTCTTTAATTTAGTATATGCTATTAGGCCTCATGGTAGAACTAAATTATTTTTGTCAGATTAATTTTTATTGGTTTTACATGTCTTATTTAATTAACTTTAATTTTTCTCCCAAGGGAGTAACCTGTTGTGTTTTTGATTAGATAAAGTTGATGATTCTCCACCCCCTTACTTTATATACCAGTTCCTATCATTTCTATTTTCCAACGTGCTCTACCTCCAACATTTTTCTGTTCTGTTCTTGTGATAATTTTCAGTTTATTTAAAAAGTAGATCCCTTCTGCTGCTGCTAAAGACATCCTGATAATGTAATAGATAGCATACATTGAGTACTAACTACATGCCAGGTACTATTCTCAGTGTTTTACAATATCCATTTAATCCTCACAGTAATCCAGTGAGGTAGGTACTTTTGTCGACATTATGCAGATGAGCAAACAGAAGCCTGTGGAGGTTAAGGAGTTTGCCCAAGATTGCACAGTTCAGGTTGACCATCCCTAATATTAAAATTCAGTGTGGTCCAAAATCTGAAACTTTTTGAGCACTGACAGGACACTATAGTGGAGAATTTAACACCTGACCTCATGTCATGGGTTGTGATCAAAACACTGCAATATGTGAATATTATATAAAATTACTTTCAGACTGTGTTTGTTTTTGTTTTGTTTCTTTTTAAGTTAACAGAAGTTGGGGATACCTGTGTTACTATGTTTATATTTCTTAAAGTATGTGTATTTTTTGTGATATGTGAGACAAATACATTGAAGTCAACAAAAATCAATGGGGAACCCTTATCCCCAAACTTTCATAGAGAATCAGGCTTGCTCCAAGTCTATAGAGGAAGCTGTTGGTCTTGAGTTAGTGAAGAATTGTTTGATCCTGGTTGCTGCAGGAACCTGTTCTGTGGACTCCACGTTGTCCTGGCAGAGACTTCATGTGCGTGCTCTGTTGCCTGTTTCCTAGGAAACTTTCACCTGGTCCTTGAGCAAAAGTTGCCAGCAGTGGAGATCTCTAAGATGATTTTTTTTTCCTTTCTCTAACCTCTTAAGCCCCTGAATGTTTCCCAATTTTGAAACCATATTACTGCCAATTAGCATTAATTTTATTTCAGTTAAGTGAACCTGACATTTGAAAATCTAGAATTACACAACTGAACATTTTATACTTACTGTATTAAAGGTTATTGTGCTTTATATTACATCTAATCATACTTTTGATAATACATGATTTTTAGGGAATACATCTGCACTGTAAGGTAAAGCATTCTTCTGTAGTCTCTAACCAAGGCAGTAATTTCACAATGTTAGCGTGTTGATAATTTTATAGAGAAATATATATTCCTTTTAGACCTTGAAAAGACTTGTGATAGATTCCCAAGACCTAAGCTAAGATAATTCTGTCAAATGCATCAGGCTTACTAAACTAAGATAAAAATGTGTCACTTCTTTTATAGTTGATGGAGTAAATTTTCACATAACATTGACAGATTGACTGCTTAGTCAAGGCCATTGATAAGTTTTTTAGAGAATACTTTTTAAAAACTCTTCATTATGAAAAATTTCAACTATTTACTGAAATAAACTGGATGATATAATAAGCCTCCCTTACACACATTACCCGACTCTACTCAGCTATGGTCGACCTTGTTTCATCTCGGTCCCCACCCACTTCTCTGCTCCCATATCCCTAGCTGTTTTGAAGCAAATTCTAGACATCATAACTTTTCACAAGGGTACTTTTTTAACAGACTATCCCTGATGAGGGAATGAAGCAAATTAATTATTGTTGAGTACTTAAAAGCATTAATATTCTCTCTTGCAGTCAAAGACACCAGCTTTGGTATTTGAATATATCAATAATACAGATTTTAAGGTGCGTATACTTTTTCTTTCTGGCATGGGCTAATGGACCAGGGGAGGTGGTGATAAATATTGTTGATTCTCCAGAACACAAAGCAGGCCTGGGATGTCATAGGTAAGAGTCGGAAATAACAAATTGAATTCCTTATGGCATGAATACAGGCTGCAGAAAGTGCTTTGGTTCTTGCATTTGGTAAGACTACTCATTACACTTTGCCTGCTTCCTGTAGGAGAAGTGACTCTGTTGGGTCAAAGGTATTTCCTTATCTTTAACACTCCTGTTTTAGATAGCATAGCTTCTAAGTAGATGTTAACTTCGATTTTCATAAGAACTCTTTTTTTTGAGGGGTGGAGAGATTTTTCCTATAGGGTGCATGCACTTGCCAGAAAGAGAGACAAAAAGCGAGAAATCACTCCCCCACGCTACAGTCCCTTCTCCTGTGTTCTCTTCCTGGGATCTTGGGCACGCACACACATGCACCTGACATGAGTTTGAAGTTTGCTGGTTCTGGGACTCGAACCACAGTCAGCCATGTGGGAGTAGAGTGACATAACCACTATGCCATCTGCTGGTCCCCATAAGAATTCTTACATTGGAGATAGGAAGGGTAAACTGAAACAGGGCTCTTGTGAAAAGAAGCAATACACTGGATTCAAGCTGGCAAGTAATGTGCACATGTGCTCATGCACACTGTGTACAGAGAAAACTGTAGAGAAAACTACTTAGGAGTTGCTGCTTCAGAAGAGCCCTATCCTGGGGTTCTTTACATTTGTTTTTTAGAGAATACTTTTTAAAAACTCTTCATTATGAAAAATTTCAACTATTTACTGAAATAAACTGGATGATATAATAAGCCTCCCTTACACACATTACCCGACTCTACTCAGCTATGGTCGACCTTGTTTCATCTCGGTCCCCACCCACTTCTCTGCTCCCATATCCCTAGCTGTTTTGAAGCAAATTCTAGACATCATAACTTTTCACAAGGGTACTTTTTTAACAGACTATCCCTGATGAGGGAATGAAGCAAATTAATTATTGTTGAGTACTTAAAAGCATTAATATTCTCTCTTGCAGTCAAAGACACCAGCTTTGGTATTTGAATATATCAATAATACAGATTTTAAGGTGCGTATACTTTTTCTTTCTGGCATGGGCTAATGGACCAGGGGAGGTGGTGATAAATATTGTTGATTCTCCAGAACACAAAGCAGGCCTGGGATGTCATAGGTAAGAGTCGGAAATAACAAATTGAATTCCTTATGGCATGAATACAGGCTGCAGAAAGTGCTTTGGTTCTTGCATTTGGTAAGACTACTCATTACACTTTGCCTGCTTCCTGTAGGAGAAGTGACTCTGTTGGGTCAAAGGTATTTCCTTATCTTTAACACTCCTGTTTTAGATAGCATAGCTTCTAAGTAGATGTTAACTTCGATTTTCATAAGAACTCTTTTTTTTGAGGGGTGGAGAGATTTTTCCTATAGGGTGCATGCACTTGCCAGAAAGAGAGACAAAAAGCGAGAAATCACTCCCCCACGCTACAGTCCCTTCTCCTGTGTTCTCTTCCTGGGATCTTGGGCACGCACACACATGCACCTGACATGAGTTTGAAGTTTGCTGGTTCTGGGACTCGAACCACAGTCAGCCATGTGGGAGTAGAGTGACATAACCACTATGCCATCTGCTGGTCCCCATAAGAATTCTTACATTGGAGATAGGAAGGGTAAACTGAAACAGGGCTCTTGTGAAAAGAAGCAATACACTGGATTCAAGCTGGCAAGTAATGTGCACATGTGCTCATGCACACTGTGTACAGAGAAAACTGTAGAGAAAACTACTTAGGAGTTGCTGCTTCAGAAGAGCCCTATCCTGGGGTTCTTTACATTTCCTTATATTTATAATGTATATTATTTTAGACTTCAAAGTGTTCTGGTAAAAGCATGGGTTTAAACTGGCTTTTCATGAATTTGTTTTTATTGTTCAAACACTAATACCTTAATTTATGATAAGGTTTTGAGGTTAGGCATACTGGATATGGCAGAAATCCTTCTCAAGGGCTTAAAAACACAATAGTGTTGATTTTCAGGGGCACTTAAGGATGATTATAACTATCAGTAAATAGGACTCTTGTGATTTTCTTGATAGACAATAGGGACAGAACAAAATCATTGTTGAAAATGCCGGTACTGGGACCAGCAGTTAGCGTAATGGTTATGTCGCTGAACTCCCATGTAGTTGACCGTGGTTCAAGTCCTGGGCCCGGTGGCTTAAACTCACGCCCGGTGTGTGTGCGCATGCGTACCCAAGATCCCAAGAGGAGAACGGAGGAGAAGGGATTGTGGCGTGGCCATCCCCTGTGGGGGGTAATTTCTCGCTTTTTGTCTCTCTGTCTGTCTCTATCTCTCTGGCGAGTGCACACGCCCTGTAGCAAAAACCTCTCAAAAAAAAAAGAAAATGCTGGTACCAAGAGTGATGTTTTTGGATGAAAATGAAAGAGCTCATTTTTACACTTAATTTTGCTTAGTCACTATGAAATGACTTTAAAACAAGATTGAATAGTGATAAATGAGCAAGAGTATTTTATAAAACAGTAAGTAGCAAGTTTTATATATGGTACAGCATTTTTTGTTAATGTGAGTCCTTTTTATGTTTACTTTTTTATGTTGCCAGCAGTGGAGATCTCTAAGATGATTTTTTTTTCCTTTCTCTAACCTCTTAAGCCCCTGAATGTTTCCCAATTTTGAAACCATATTACTGCCAATTAGCATTAATTTTATTTCAGTTAAGTGAACCTGACATTTGAAAATCTAGAATTACACAACTGAACATTTTATACTTACTGTATTAAAGGTTATTGTGCTTTATATTACATCTAATCATACTTTTGATAATACATGATTTTTAGGGAATACATCTGCACTGTAAGGTAAAGCATTCTTCTGTAGTCTCTAACCAAGGCAGTAATTTCACAATGTTAGCGTGTTGATAATTTTATAGAGAAATATATATTCCTTTTAGACCTTGAAAAGACTTGTGATAGATTCCCAAGACCTAAGCTAAGATAATTCTGTCAAATGCATCAGGCTTACTAAACTAAGATAAAAATGTGTCACTTCTTTTATAGTTGATGGAGTAAATTTTCACATAACATTGACAGATTGACTGCTTAGTCAAGGCCATTGATAAGTTTTTTAGAGAATACTTTTTAAAAACTCTTCATTATGAAAAATTTCAACTATTTACTGAAATAAACTGGATGATATAATAAGCCTCCCTTACACACATTACCCGACTCTACTCAGCTATGGTCGACCTTGTTTCATCTCGGTCCCCACCCACTTCTCTGCTCCCATATCCCTAGCTGTTTTGAAGCAAATTCTAGACATCATAACTTTTCACAAGGGTACTTTTTTAACAGACTATCCCTGATGAGGGAATGAAGCAAATTAATTATTGTTGAGTACTTAAAAGCATTAATATTCTCTCTTGCAGTCAAAGACACCAGCTTTGGTATTTGAATATATCAATAATACAGATTTTAAGGTGCGTATACTTTTTCTTTCTGGCATGGGCTAATGGACCAGGGGAGGTGGTGATAAATATTGTTGATTCTCCAGAACACAAAGCAGGCCTGGGATGTCATAGGTAAGAGTCGGAAATAACAAATTGAATTCCTTATGGCATGAATACAGGCTGCAGAAAGTGCTTTGGTTCTTGCATTTGGTAAGACTACTCATTACACTTTGCCTGCTTCCTGTAGGAGAAGTGACTCTGTTGGGTCAAAGGTATTTCCTTATCTTTAACACTCCTGTTTTAGATAGCATAGCTTCTAAGTAGATGTTAACTTCGATTTTCATAAGAACTCTTTTTTTTGAGGGGTGGAGAGATTTTTCCTATAGGGTGCATGCACTTGCCAGAAAGAGAGACAAAAAGCGAGAAATCACTCCCCCACGCTACAGTCCCTTCTCCTGTGTTCTCTTCCTGGGATCTTGGGCACGCACACACATGCACCTGACATGAGTTTGAAGTTTGCTGGTTCTGGGACTCGAACCACAGTCAGCCATGTGGGAGTAGAGTGACATAACCACTATGCCATCTGCTGGTCCCCATAAGAATTCTTACATTGGAGATAGGAAGGGTAAACTGAAACAGGGCTCTTGTGAAAAGAAGCAATACACTGGATTCAAGCTGGCAAGTAATGTGCACATGTGCTCATGCACACTGTGTACAGAGAAAACTGTAGAGAAAACTACTTAGGAGTTGCTGCTTCAGAAGAGCCCTATCCTGGGGTTCTTTACATTTCCTTATATTTATAATGTATATTATTTTAGACTTCAAAGTGTTCTGGTAAAAGCATGGGTTTAAACTGGCTTTTCATGAATTTGTTTTTATTGTTCAAACACTAATACCTTAATTTATGATAAGGTTTTGAGGTTAGGCATACTGGATATGGCAGAAATCCTTCTCAAGGGCTTAAAAACACAATAGTGTTGATTTTCAGGGGCACTTAAGGATGATTATAACTATCAGTAAATAGGACTCTTGTGATTTTCTTGATAGACAATAGGGACAGAACAAAATCATTGTTGAAAATGCCGGTACTGGGACCAGCAGTTAGCGTAATGGTTATGTCGCTGAACTCCCATGTAGTTGACCGTGGTTCAAGTCCTGGGCCCGGTGGCTTAAACTCACGCCCGGTGTGTGTGCGCATGCGTACCCAAGATCCCAAGAGGAGAACGGAGGAGAAGGGATTGTGGCGTGGCCATCCCCTGTGGGGGGTAATTTCTCGCTTTTTGTCTCTCTGTCTGTCTCTATCTCTCTGGCGAGTGCACACGCCCTGTAGCAAAAACCTCTCAAAAAAAAAAGAAAATGCTGGTACCAAGAGTGATGTTTTTGGATGAAAATGAAAGAGCTCATTTTTACACTTAATTTTGCTTAGTCACTATGAAATGACTTTAAAACAAGATTGAATAGTGATAAATGAGCAAGAGTATTTTATAAAACAGTAAGTAGCAAGTTTTATATATGGTACAGCATTTTTTGTTAATGTGAGTCCTTTTTATGTTTACTTTTTTATTTTTGGAGAGGTTTTCGCTATAGGGCGTGTGCGCTCGCCAGACAGACAGAGACAGAAAGATAGAAAGCGAGAAATCACCCCCCAGGGGTGATGGCCACACCACAATCCCTTCTCCATTCTCCTCTCGGGATCTTGGGCACACACGCACATGCACCTGGCGTGAATTTAAGCCACCGTGTCCGAGACTCGAACCACGGTCGACTACGTGGGAGTCCAGCAACATAGCCATTACACTAACTGCTGGTCCCAGGGTGAGTCCTTATAGGTAAAATCCTTAGTGAACTCTAAAAAGTAGGGTCTAAATTTTGTATTGAATAGTGTAGTGATGCTTAGCTGGTAGAGTACTATGCTTAATATGTATCTGATCAACAAGGAGTCTTGCAGGTTTATCAGGGTACATTAGTGAGAATGTGTGTGCTTGTCTTAGAGAACTAGACAGGCCTTAATGAAATCTGACATTTCCCTAATGCAAAAGTTTAAAAGATGGCCTTATTCCCTAAGTTTTAAGTAGATGTGCTTCATTAATTAATGAGTTTTTACCCATTGTTTGGTGACACATGTAAAATTTCATGTCAGTATTTTATGTTCTTAAAGTGGCATCTGCTCTGCTGAATTAACAACATACTGAAGGTCAGTGAACAGGAATTTAAATTTTCTAGGGAAATCGTCCTTCTTTGAAATCTTGACCCTCAAAGGAGATGTTTTAAGGACATGTGTTCTCTGGGGCTGGCAGGTGGCATGATGGTTAAGGTGGATGGACTCCCTTTCCTTGCTTTCTCACTTTCCTTCTCTCTCTGTCTCTCTCTGGTCAACTTCAAAAGATAAACAACAGAGACAAGCAGTTAGCATAATGGCTATGTCGCTGGACTTCCATGTAGTCAACCACAGTTCAAGTCCTGGACCTGATGGCTTAAACCCAAGAGGAGAATGGAGGAGAAGGGATTGTGGTGTGGCCCCCCCACCCCCCGGGGGGGGGTGATTTCTCACTTTCTGTCTCTCTGTCTCTCTCTGTCTTTCTGGGAAGTGCACACACCCTATAGCAAAAAAAAAAAAACAAAAAAACTCTCAAAAAAAATAGATTAAAAACAAAATAATGATAATGAATAAAATTAATTAATTTTTGTTTTTTAAAGACATATATTCTCTAGTAGCTTTCCTTAAAGGAATCATGGGACACTAATGCTTTCTGAGGTTTGCATATCTGAAAACATCTTTATTTGTTTGCTAGAGTATTGAATTCTAGGTTTAAATTCATTAGTTCCCCAGTTTTGAAGAGATTGTTCTAGTATTACCATAGAAACCATTCTGGTTTCATTTTATGTAACTTTTTTTGTTTTTGTTTTGTCCTTTAGGAAGCTTTTAGGATTTTTTCCTTCATTTCTAGTCTTCTGAAATTTCACAATGATGTGCCTTCATATGGAAGTCCTTTTCATCTTTTGTTCTGGACACTTGCTGGGCCACCTGGAAGCTCATGTTCCTTTATTTTAGAAGAATATTTTTAATGTTCTTTGATTTTCTTTCCCTTTTTTCTTTGTTCTCACTTTCTAAAACTTATTCAAATGATGGACTTCATCTCTTAGAGCTACAGTTTGGCCTCTGAACTTTTAAAAATAGTATGCTTTTCTTTTATGTTTTATATAATGTCTTCTGTGTTCTCTCAGAATATATTTTTCCACGTGGTGTTTTTTTCTGTTTTTCTTCCAAATTTCTTTGTGTGTGTATGTATGTTTTTGTTTTTGTCTTTGTTGTCTGAAATGTTAGTGTTCTTGGATTTCTCATATTTTAGAGTACTGCTCTAAAGAGTTGTCAGCTCCTTTCTCGAAGTGCAACTCGGCTGCTGGCATTTCAGAAGTCTCAAGTTGAGAAGAACTGTGGGGACATTAGGCAGACTTGCACTTAAATCTCCTGTTTTCAGAGTCAGGTTTTAAACATAGTTTTGTCTTTTCAGCTCACTTTGTTACTCTTTCAGCAATGTCAGGGGTCACCAATTCCTCAGCCTTTTCTGTAATTCTTCAGTTTGAATCTCTTTTTTTCTGGACCAACCCCCTTTACTATTGTTGGCAGAATTTTTAGCTTTTTTGGTTTGCTAGGTAACCTAGACATTTTCTACTTTTTATACTGTCATCTCTTGCATTCTCTTAGTTCTTGTGAATTAATCTCACCCTCCCACCAAAACCCCGTTCCTTTTACTGTGGCTTTAAAGGAGCTTCATGTAGAAACAGATGAGTTTGATCTTTCATGTTTAACAGGAGGTTCCTTTTGAATGTTCAGGCCATGACATTTTAGTCACCTTAAAAGATAATCAGTTGATTGCATGGCTTAGTGCTTAAGGCAATTAGATCCACATGGCCAACTTCATGGTTTGAGTTCTGGACCTGGAGATTTGAGAAACATGCTTGTGCATGTGTGCCAAAAATCCTGAAAATGGGA